TAAAGTCATTCTCTTTAGTAGAAAGAAAACCTTTAAATATTGACAAAATCCATTGAGAACTTCTCACCTTTATCTCCCATCACCAACCTGCTGCACCTAAAATGCTTGTGTTAATTTCTAAATATCAATCTCACTATTCTCCAAACCCCTAAGTTTCTGCATCTTGAAACAAATCCCCTGAATCACCTCTTTTCTCTATGGTCTTAGTTGGGGGGGCCCTCTCTCTCCATATAGGTATAGCTATAGATATATAGATAAAGATATAGATGTATAAATACAGATATAGATGATATAGACATAGGTATATAGGTAGACTATATATATATATATATATATTCATAGAGACTGATGCTTTGTAGCTATAGACAAAAGACAGTGTCTCTATGCTTCAGAATTAGTATGAAGATTAAATAAGTTATATATGAAGTACTTTGAACTTTGCCTGGCTTAGTGTAAGGGCACAATAAATCTGCATCATTATAACACACCCTTGCAATGGCACTAATCACATTATAAGTGTTGTGAGAGTTATCCTTCCCCCATAGACTGTAGGAGATCATGCTTCATGCATCATTGCATTCTCAGGCTGGAGCACAGTGGTGGCTCATAGTGGGCATGTAATAGATAATTAATGAATGAATGACTCTTTGCTTCCTTCACAACTCCCAGCATGTGGTACGTGCTGAAGAAATGTTCACTGACTTGAATTCGATAAAACTGAATTGATCTGGAGAGAATACAGAATAAGAAGCTCCTTGATATTAGGTGAGGCATATTAAGTGTACATTTTCAGGTGAGAGCAACTTCACCTGAAAGGCTGTTCCTTAGGGTTAAATCTAAACTGATGCATAATTCTACACTCTTACCAAATTCAGAATAATTTTTTCTCTACTCATTTGCTTTCCAGTGTCAGTTTCCATATTCTGTCAACTTTTTTTATCCTCACAACATTGCTTAGATCACGAAAAGTCACCTTTTGTAATTTTTGTCAGTTAGCTATTGCTGAATAACAAATAAACACAAAATCTCAGTGGCATACAGCAAAAAACACTTTTCCCATGCGTGCGTGGGTCAGAGAGTTTAGAATGGACAGTCATGTTCTGAGCTGTAGGTCTGACTGGCTTTGCCTCATCATTGATGGTTGGCTTCCATTCTGTGCCATACACATTTATTCTAGAGCCCAGACTGAAGGGCAGTAGCTACCCAGGGAAGCTCTTGTCTCAACCACAGCAGCAAAGTAAGCAGAAAAGCAGAACATCTATACTGGATCTTAAGGCCTCAGTCGGGAACCAACACAGTGTCATTTCTATCATACTGCGTTATCCAAAATAAGACACATGGCTAAGCCTAACTTCAAAGAAACAGGGAAAATAAAATGTTACCCACTTTAGTGGGTTTTACCAGTCACATGGCAAAGGATTTAAATATATAAATATAAATCAGAGAACATGAGAATTGTAAACAATTATTAAATTTACCACACCTCTGTCTCCTGATTCTGGTCTCCACAACATCTTTCCTAGGCAATCACAGTAGCCTCTAATCTCCTCATATCCAGTCTGCCACATGGTTTGTGCTCCAGATTTGATTATGAACCTCTTTGTTGCAGGTGATAGAATACCCTGTTTAAAATGACTTATATTATCTTATATAACCAAAAGTCTAGAGAAAGTGTTTTAGGATTGGATTGAAAGTTCAACAATGTCACTGAAGTCTCAGGTCTTTTTGTGGATTTAGGTCTTTTTTATCATTCTATCTTTTGTTTACACCTTTGTTGCCTCACAGAGACAAGGTTGCTGAGGTAGCTCCAAACCTCACATGATTTCACAGTGATGTTCAAAACAAGAATAAAACAAAAGCGTGTCTTTGTACACCCCTCTCTTTTTATCAGAGAAAAAAAGTCATCTCTTGTAGCTCCCCAAGTCACTTCTCCTGACGTTTCACTGACCAAAACCATCTAATCACCCAAAGCTATAAGAGAAGCAGAAGTCACTGGAGAACATTTCTAGGTTCTGTCTTATGAGTGGACTCTAAACACAAGAAAGAAGTTGGAAGAGAGGAGCATGTGTTTAAGAAATCAGTGGTATCTGCACACTCTCAAATAATTTAACCTACCTGACTTAGGGTTTAAGAGGAGTTTTCATGATGAAGTGTTTCCACCAGTTTGTTTATATGCTGCCCTACTAGACAAGAAACTGCAAGCACAGCTAATGGGTCTCGGTTGTTACATCACCGATGCCTTTCCTAGCTTCTGGCACACAGCAGGCATTCAGGATTTTCTTTTGCAAATAACTAAATAAATCAAAGAGTTAATGCCCTAGAATGCTTTCATGTCTTTCTGTATCTACCTAATGATAGGAACTTTCTCCAGATTTTAATATGATTTTTTTACAGGAATCTATTTTTTGTAAGTGACTCTTAACCTCACAAATGTCTCCCACTCCTCACCACATACAATCCTATCTGCACTAAATGTCGCAAAAGGACCTGTACTACAGGACACCTTTCTTAGCATTTAGTATCTTTTCTGACATCACTTACATTCTGTTTTGAGTATTATTTGTCTTATATAAGCTCTTCCAAGACTATGAACTTCTTGATTATTCTTTAAAATCTCATATACCTATCTCATTGCTATAAAGATAGAAGGTAATAAATATTTGTGAAAGAGATTTGAATTATCATTTTCATTAAAGGGTTTTATACTTTATAACAATTCTTTCTGACTATAAAACTAACCAGAGTAAATTATTCTGTCTATAGTTCTGGGTTATTTTTCGAAAATACTTTATGTCATTCTTTCTTATAATGGTAGCTCACTACTTTGAATGTATCTCTGATACTTATCCAAAGTATCAAAGTATTCAAAGCGAATATCCATGATTATTTTCTATTTTCTATTTTCTACACTTGGTGAGGTGTTTTGAATTTATCTTCTTTTTGTCTCCTGAATGAAAGCACACATTTTCATATTATAGTGCATTATTATTAATGCTTTAGCCTTAATTTTTCCCTCTCTGCTGGGTTGTCCCAAATTTGAGTCACCAATTTTTCTAACAAGGGGATAAAAATCATGACATCCCTGAAGTCTCATCACACTCCATTATGACTATCCTTTTGTAATAATGAATTATTTAGTTTTCTATTATGTGGCACTTTATATTTTCTCCTCAATTCTACTACAAATAATTTCTAAGTTCTCTGAAAGCCTCCACTGACCATCAGATGATGCCTTGCAGTCCATTGTTCAATAAATGTTTATTGAACTTCTAGTATATGCTAAGCATTGTTGAGTTACTGGGAATCCAGTAATGAAAGAAATAGGTATAGTCTAATTCTCCTGAGTTTTGCATTCTAAGCAAGGGAAGCAACTAACCAGCAAGCACTTCAGTGTAATATGCCAAGTTGAGAAGTGCTCTCTATTAGTAAGACAGGGAAGTGACATGTAGAATATCTGTTGGCAGTGGTCACCATTTAAAAAAAAAAAAGATTGGTAGGAAAGGCTACAGTCAGAATGTGCTGTTTGATCAGAGGCCTAGAGCAATGGAGTTCCCTGCAGAGGAGGTCAGTGCAAAGTTCAGGGGCATCAGTGTGGACGAGGATCAGCAATGTGGGCAGGGAAGCTTCAGGCAAGTGATGCTGGGGAGAGGGATAAAAGGAAGCAAATGAAAGCCATTAATTGGTAGAAGGTCTGGTCATGTGCTTGGAAGTGGTAATAGAAAATTGGATTTCATTCTGAGCAAGATGGGAAGCCTTTGAAACTACTATATATCTGTTTTATTATCAGGAATAAACATTTATGCTGTTTATAAAAGTTTTGGAAATCAATTTGTGGTGTTGCACAACAATGTTCATACGTCGAATGCCATTGAACTATACATGTGAAAATGGTGAAATGGTAAAATTTATGTTGTGTATATTGCACCACAAATTTAAAACTCTGCGGGTGAATCTAGTGGGCCAGATCCTGTGCAAAGCACTGGTGACTATAATAAGAACACAGAGATGATACAGGCACTCGAAATCTGCTTTGAGAAAATCTATACCACGCATCACAAATATAAATACACAATGCAATGTAGCATGAATCATGTTCTAAATGAGAGGGCTAAGCTAGGATTTCACCTAGAGTATTCTCAGAAACATCAGTATAGAGAGATGCCCTTTGAAATAAAAGGATCTTATTCAAATAAGTGTGAGAAGTGGTGTGTCCTCCAGCCCCTCATGGACATTCCCAGCACACACAGGCATATCACAAGCTCTAAAATAAATATACATAAAAGAAACCTGTTTAGCTTTGTTTAATCCAATGTTGCTAAACCATTTTGATCACAGCACTTTTCCCCCACATCACCTATTAACATCCTGAGGAACTAATTTTCGAAAAAACCAATGCTCCTGGAGGCACAATGCGGAGAGAGGAAGGATTGAGTTCATGTAGAAACTGCTTCTGAGTTGAACCCTAAAGGAAACAGGATACTTGGATTAGAGGAGAGGAAGGGTATCTGAGGCAGGAGGAAAGTTTAGAAATTCTCTTCAAAGTTAAGTCTCCTGAATCTTGCCTTGTCAAGCATCTTTGAGCCACAGAATGACTCTTCTAAGTATACTGTCAAAAATCGTAATTTTCGTAATCATTGAACGTTTTTTAAACACTCAAAATATCTATTCATTAAGATTAATTATTTTGTAGAATTTTACTTAGTTCGTTGTCATTATTTTGTAGACAGCAAAGTGAATTCCAGAGGAATGATAATGTACTCAGTCACCCCTGCGTAATCAATGACAGTGTTAGTTTTCTTTCTCTGGGGCTGGAGTCCTGTTCCACCAAGGAAAGAGTTATGGTCTTTGTATGTGTGCAGTAGACACTTCGGAAGTACAGCAAAAAATTGATTCCTGAGCAAGATGCAGGTTTAATCATGCAGTGGATATGGAAACAAAATCAAATTAAAGAACAACGCAAGCTTGGATTTTAATGAAGCTCATCTCTGTTTCTTTTGCAGATCAAATTTTTGGCTCTCATCTGCACACAGTGTGTGAACGTGAAAATTCCACAGTTCCACGGTTCGTAAAGCAATGCATTGAAGCTGTCGAAAAAAGAGGTGGGTAACTGAATATGCAGCAGTTTCTCCCCTTACGCCACCCTCCGCACCACGGTGCTAAGTTCACGGCACCACTTGATTTGTCTGGGAAGCCATGCAATTAAAACCTGACTTTTGTTAATCGGTTAAGAGGATCAAGTTTCTTATTAACTTCAGTTTGTTTTTACAATAGGGACATCAGTAATTCCCACTAATGTTCTTTTTTTTTAATATTTTGTCTGTCTGACATGTTGTTGATTCAATTGCAAACTTCTTGTTTTCAAGCCAGTGATAAAACATTCATAAAATATCAGCACTCAGAGTGTTAGAACCCTCCTAACATTCGTGCTGGTAGATGTGCCAGAACAATTTTTGGTAAGCCCCCAACATTACCCAAGTGAAGCAAATAGCATTTCCACTTGCAAACAGTGATATTCCATCTTCCACGTGTTTCTGTGCAGCCAGAATACAGCTAACTGGTTTTCCTGGAACAATTAACAGATGTACCTCCAATGTTAAGATGAACTTTGATCCTTCTATTTCAACATTCAGTCTTTGATCTGAAATTATCTCATCTTACTGAGGGGAACAAAACAAAACCCAATTGACTCATCATTTCTACGCTAGTCTGTCTGTGAGATGTTTTTCCTTCAGATTATGACTTCATTCATTCAAGGTCATTTTCCCTGGAAGATACATACAGTAGATGAGGAATCTAAAAAAAATGTATTATATAAAAATATGAAGCTTCATCACCATCTGTTACAAGTTTACAACATATTCCCAGGATCTAGGGGGATATATATCATGTAAAAGACAGAGGTGTTTTCAGAAAAAGAATTGGTGAATCTATTCCCAATTTCAGCTCCCAACCTCTTAAGACAATAGAAGCAAGGAGAAAAAATCTTTACCAAGTTATCTGCTAGGGCAAAGCTATTTTAATTCTCTCAGTGTTACCTGGCTTTATTATAGAAGCATAATAAAAATGGTCTGCAATTTCCAACTCCTGGAAATTCATACTTTAATTATACTGTAAGGATAGCCTTGGGATCCTATTATTCCCCTATCAGTAGGGAATGGAGAATAACAAGAAGGGGATGAGTGGGTAGGGAAAGTAGATAAAGGGAGTGGCTTTGGGGGAACGCACATCAACTCATCAGAGACAAGAGCAGAGAGTTCAGAGCGAGAGTAGAAAAACAGTAAAAGCAGAATGAGCACAAGGAGAGATTTCTGTGAAGAATGGAGTCAATTCGAGTTGAGAGAGAAATGTGTTTTTATTGCATGTTGCAATCTCATTTAATTTTATAAGTACACATTTGAGGAATAAATATTATTTAATAAGTCCTTAAAGCCAAAATGGATCACTGAAAATGTTATAATGTTATTATTGTCAATAGCTAAATGATCACCTTTAAGAAATCTTCATTCACTTATAAATAGTACTGACGGTGTGAGCTCTGTTATATTAGAGCAAAAATCCAAATAGGACTTTGGGGGAAGCTGTACATAATGAGATGTGTGCACATATGAAAAAGGACTCTGTACCTCCTATTCATGTACATACCCCAGGCAAGATGAAAATTCTGCTACATAAAGCCTTGTGGTATGCAGATAGCATAATATCATACAGTAGAAAATGTCTGTAAATAGAAACTGCATCCTTTGTTCATGGCATTTGGTGGGAGTTTTTAATAAAATAAGACAATGTTTTTGCTGACAGGAACAACCATATCTGGCATTATATTTCATTGTCCTGGTGTTTACCCTTAAAATGAATTTGTAGATTCAGTACTAAACAGGCACTAATCACACATGATTATTAAAATAATTTCTAAGCATTTTAATGAAACTCAAAGAGCACAATTCTGCAAAGAAACTGATAATTCAAAGCACTTTGGCAGTGTCAGCTTAAAGGAACTCTTTGGAAATGTTCGATAAAAACTCCGAAGCACAAGATAAACCTCTCACATTATTGCAAGATTTACGAGTGTGTACTTTTGATTATATTTTTCTATGATCATTTTGTTGGATTAATATTCTTACATTTATACGCCAATTCTATTTACTCAAAGTGCTGTTTTTACTAAATTCTGGCATAAAGCACCTTAGGACAGAAATAATTTATGTGAATCTAAGTCCAATGTTTATGCAGGCTTCTGATGACATTTTATGCTGGGGTTGGTATTAGGAAGTAGCACAGAAAGGTGCCAAGTCTCTCAGCACGGCTGGGACTCTGTATATCTAGAGCCCTCTTTCCAATGGCCAGATCCTCTTTCAGCCAAGATACTCAACTGCAGAGTCATGGGAAATGTTTATGGGCCAGTTATGGGAAAGGCACATTTAATGAAAACTGTGCATTTACTCTCACAGTCTTCGGGAATGGCCTCAATATTCACTACAGCAGTACATCGGCTGTTATAAAAAAAAAAGATCTGTTTCCTTTCTCTCTTTTTTTCTCAAGACTATTTCCTTAGCTTAAAAAAATCTATAAACCATAATTGTATTTTTTTAAATGCTCCTTATATGCTTTATTTCAAATGAAACCATGTCTGGAAAGCAGATCTCACCATTTATTCACTCATTCATTCATTTATCCATCCATCCACCCTTTCATTAATTCTTTCATTCAGCTAGTTACTTGCACTTGGCAGAACCAAACTGCTCATGCTTCTGTAGTCTCCCCAGGGAAACTTTTACCCAGTGCTTGGCACAAGATGCATTCCTGGTAAGGTGGTATTAGTCACATTTTAAATGTTGCATCTCTTGGACATGCCTATAAGAAAATCTTTTAGTGAGCTAAATGTAAACCAATTTAGCGAATAACTTGTTTAGTATGTTTCCTTATCTTGATTTAGTTTTCTTCATTCCTCTGACTCACCGGAGCATTTTCTTCCTTACCAACTATTATAACTGGATTAAAATCACTTCTCTGGTTTCTGACCCTGCCTGCTCAGCCCAGAAAACAGACACAAAACTTGGAGGACAAACCTTAAAGGAGCGTGTTAGTCTTCAAGGCTCTTCCAAGTGGCCCGTTCTCTCTTGTCTTGCCTTTACCATGGCAGACCATGTATATGAGATATCGTAAGTGGCCAATGAACATTTTAATTTATGTTCCTTCTTCCAAAGACTTTTCTGTGAAAACATCAAATTTTTTTTCAGCTAATACTCAATCCATGTGGCAAACTGAACAAAAGCAAGAGACCACCTGACCCACCTTTCTTTTGAAGTCTGGGAGAACAAGCATATGGGGGGGGGGCATTGTGACATACAGATGGCACGTAGTCTAAACAGTGAGACGTCCATTTCTTCACTGTTTTATACATACTTTGTGTAGTTTACGATGGCTTCAAAAGTGTACAGATGTAGCTTACTTAAAAATTGGGCCTTTTGTATTTCTTAGAGACAAGGGACTAGGAAATGTGAAGTAAATGAAGTATATAGTCTAAACTGGTGTGATTAGTATAAGGGCCTTAATCCACAGTCCCTTTTATCAAAGCATGTAATTAACAACTCTGTGAAGCTGCATTATTTGAAAAAAGCCATACATATATAATATGTGACACATTGTAAGCACTCAGTAAAGATCGGTGGCATGAAGTAACAGGCACTAGGCATCCATTGCATTACTGCAAGTTATTCAGTATCTTCCCTGTGCCATTCTCTATACCAGTGATTTTTTTAACCTTTTTCATCTCATGGTACACATAAACTAATTACAAAAATTCTATAGCACATCAGAAAATATATTGTTTTTTCCAATCTGACAAAAAATAGTTATAATTTTGATTCATTCACACCAGATGACTATTGTTCTGTTGGCTGTTTTCTTTTCTTTTTTTAATTTGACAACCTAGGGGAAAAGAGGTCAGTGCCCCTGACAAAATAGTTAGGTATTGAGTGTTTTAAAAAGTCTTGTGGCACACCGATTGAAAATCACTGCTCTATACTACCAGCCGAGAATATGAAGAAAATACACATTAGACGAAAGGACACACACATAAAGCACAAACTGTGAGAACTGCTATGAAAGACAAGAACATACAAGAAGAAAGAATAACCACTGCAATTATATATATTTTTGTTCTAGGAGACATTTGCTTTCAAGTGACTTAACTGCAAGTGAGGGAAATGGGGAGAGATGTTGGCCAAAGGGCATAAGCTGCGGTTATGTGGGATGGATGGGCCCGGGGGTCTAATGGACAGACATGAGGACCACAGTTAGCGCTGTGTTGAATGGTGCAAAAATGCCAAGGGAGTAAATTTCAGATTTTCTCATCACACACACACACAAAAATGGGAGCTGGCTAGAGAAATGACATGTTAACTACCTTGACTGTAGTAATCCTATCGAATCGTCATGTTATACACCTTAGATATACATAATTTTTACTTTAAGGATGTCAATGACATCAGAAAGGCAAATTAATAAACACATACTCCTTTGGTTTTTGACTCCTGTTAAGACCAGGAGATTAGTCTGGCCTTATTTCCCAGGTTATTTTTTCTTGACACATTGTGGCAATGCAATGTAAGGAGTCATTCATGTGAGACTCCCCAAAAGAGATTCCCGAAGTGGTAAGCCAATCTCCTGTCTGCCCAACACCAGCAGACATTGCAGAAAACTTCCTTTATGAAACGATGGAGTTGACTAAATAAGTGGGCATATTTCTACCTTAAATGTATTTTTATGCATCCAACATATTTTTTGGTCAAAGAAAAAGACTATTTTTAAATAGTTTGATTTTATTTGGATTGGCATTCATCCTTTTAAATATGTTTTAACAACTCATCCTTCCTTCATGATTTTCAGTTCTGGCTAATTTGCCCTCAAACTATTTAACGACATGACAACTAGAGATCCAATGTGAATGTACTCAACACTTCCAAACTATACACTTAAAAACGGTCAAGAGGGTATAGTTTATGTTATTTTTTAAATTGCAGTAAAAACTAAATGATACCAAGTTTTTCAAATTGGATGACTCCAGCTATAAGCTACTCTGTAGAACGCCTCAGCAGAT